GACCCCAGCCACTTCGACTTTCCCCGATAGAAAGAGAAGGAGTTGGATGCCAGTTGCGAGAGTAGGGTATTCCGCACAAAATGACTAGCGAAGGGGCCGGAGAGGGCGAGGGTACGTCCGGCGCTGGCAGAGTGGCGCCCCGGGGTGAGAGTGGCGTATACATCACAGCGCCTCAAGTGAGAGCACGTCTGATTCGTCCTTGAAGAGGATTGGCCAGTTGGAAGGCTTTGAGTGGGCGAAAGCCAGGCTGTTACTGGTGAGCACATGCAGGCTCTCGCGAGAGGCAGAGCAGTGCCACGGGTGCCCAAAGTAGGGCCACTACACCTTACCAGGGTGAGAGAGAGAGAGAGAGCATGTACGCAGGTCAACAGGCAATCACAGCATGTGGTATCTTCAGCCAAGTGACAGCCGTTGAGATTCTTGTCCCCCCGCCCCCCCCCCCAGGTGGAAAGCACGTACGTGCGCGCGCGCCTGGACTTTGTCCGACGGCGGCCAATAACCGAGGGACGAAGCTTCGGTTAACCTCGAGCTCTCGCCATGATGGTGTCAAGTCCCGCGCGGATCAGGCCATCGACTGAGAGGGGACATGAGACGGCCTGAAGGCGGCAGTCCCCTATTACAGGTGGCTGCGGTTTGTTTACTTCAGGTGGGGTTACAAAACCCCATCTGACCTTTGTACTTCTCCATCGTTGCTATCCGTTCAATCGTGCTGTATCTCTTGCAGACGTGGACGTGGGAAAAGGGCTGTTTTGTTTGCGTCGGTTCTGCGTTTGGTTTAGGCTGAACGCAGCCCGCCCTTTTCGGAGACCAGATTACAGATTTTGCCTTCACTGTCGTTGAACCAATCCTGATTTTGGTGGCGTGTGCCATCAAGTACATTCATGGCAGCGAAACGGATGACATCCAGCAGTTGACACCACCGTCTTCACGGTGGCTTTGTCTCCTGGAGCACCCTTCTCTTCCAGGTATTGAGTCAGTTGATTGCTGAAATTTAAGCGGTGACCAGACACATTTAGCAGAACAGCATTCCAGGCTGCCAGAGTGATCAGAGTCACTCGGAAAGCTACGGGGGAGAGGGTGGGGACGGGAGTTTCATTTCGCGCGGTGTTTTGATCGCGAATTTTGCGTCTATGAGACACGGCCAGCTTATAGCCGGCGTGGTCATCCAACACATTTTAGGACACCTTTTCTAGCCCCCTTCCCCCCGCGATGAAGTTATTAGTGCCGTACATAAAAAGGACTGTCTAGACATCCCAGGAGGCTATCGAGTTCTCCTATGGATCAAGACTTTTGTTTAGTTTAGTGGGAAGACAGCCCAAGTTAGCCTGGGCAGTCCAGAGGATTGCTGTCGCTCACTTCATAGGACTTTTGTTTTTTCGGATATAATGGGACGGGAAATGGAACTCCGGAATGTGTGACGCGCAAAAAACACACGTCCACGTATCGAACACCCTCGTTTGGTTTAGACCCCCGGCTGAGGGGTTTACTGGGCTGCGACCCCTAGTCAGGACCTAGCTTCAGAGAGCCCAATGTGAGAGTTGAGCGCCGGTTAAAGGCATTGCGGAGCAACTATCAGTCGCACGAGGAATACAGGCGACCCGTCACACTTACACCATGCACCGCCTAAATGTACAACCCACAAATCCCAAGTAATACTTTGTATGGGCAGTATAGGACGAAAATTTTCTGCACATCCTCTGTAGGAAATGTGATACGAAATAATGAAACGTGAGCGCACTGCTTAAGTAGTCATTTCTACGAGTGCGATTTACAGGACTGGCGAAATTTTATCAACCAATAGTCAGCATGCTGAAATGAACACTAGTTACTAGTACAGCAGTTAATCTAACTCGCGAAATGTCGAAATCGTCGGACACTAAAAACGCATCATTATATGCCTCTTAAGACTGTTCACATGAAAGATCTGTCAATGGGAACAATCTGAATCAGGGTGAAAGAATTAGGACCCCATCATAAAAATTCAATGATACAGCAATTTGTAAATAAGAAGCAAGTTAGAGGACGTTTTTGTTTGCTCAAAAATATATCGATTACAGACTTCCAGTCTGGAAACGTATTTACTTCTGTGATGAGGTTCCATTTTTAGAAAGGCCTTCGAAGTCGACACAGATGGTTATGCTTGGGAAGAACTTCCCACGAGAACACGCTCAATCGACAACCACATTCAAGAACTGCCAGCGCCTGATGGTTTGGACGGCTATCGAATTCAGATTTGGCGGTCGACAGCGGAAACCATTAACAGCTGTGTGTACGCGGACATCATAAAAGATGCATCCGGCCACAACAGCCTTCATCGACGTCGAATGGGCACCATACTATTGCAGGATAATGCACCTGCTCCCCTCCCAGTGGAGGTATGATTCCGACTTAGACTACAACGACAATCTACTTTTTAAAACATAGCCAGCCTATCCGCCTGCGGCCTGGAATGTATGATTATTCCGGCAAACAGCCCGGACCAAACTCCAATCGAAAATCTGTTTGCTCCAAGAAAAAGAAGCCGGGACAAGCCAAAAAACATCTTCCTATGCAACGAATTCTGGATTTTGTGCATGACACGTATATTGACCAAACTACCCCCAACAACCTTATTTTATCCAAGTCTTCCTGAATCACAGAGGTGATAAAAGGAAGATGACATTCAACAAAGTACTGATATGTTGTGTTTTTTTACTGACTTTCATTATTGCTTCATTATACTGTATTTTAATTCTAACTTGTACGTTGTGTTAGGCTTTAAGTGACCTGCCATGAGTTCATTTTTCTGATTTGATGGGTTTTGCTTAAATAGCTTATTTCATGGTTAATAAATAATATTTCGTAAATCGGACAGTGTCTTTTTTGAAGATCGATCGCTTCTCTAACATTTTCTGACGTTTGGGGATGCGGAATAGGCGGACCGTGCTCTATAAGGATTTTTTGTGCAAAGTTCGTGATCTTTCACCTGTTAGCTCGCGATCTGTCTCTTCAGATTTCCCCCACACAGTGCAGACTGAAACGCTAAGTACTTCTAGTTTTAGATTGTTGCGCGTATGGCTTGTAAGAAGAGAACGGCTGTACGAAGGACATGTAGAATTACCCCCAATAACTCCCCAAAAGTCAAAAAATGGGAAAATATTAATAAAGAAAACCCCCTAATAAAAGGCGTAGTAGATAGGTAAATTATGTCACGTAACCAGTAGTTGTCTTCGCAGGCATTTGCGACAGCAGTATTATTTATGAGAAAAGTTCCCCACGCCCAAAGTCTTGGTGTCGTCAATTTTTACTCTCTTTTATGGCTTGGACTTTCTCCAAACAGTCCTGGAAACGATAACACATTTCGTTTGCTGTCCTAATTTCCAAATTTCTGTCACTATGTGCCGAGAGCATCTACGAGGGTTAGATAGCCTTTGTCAACTTTTCGCTCCGCAAACTGTGCTACGGATCGATAAAATCATTCAAACGCAGAAGGAGGAGGCATAAACGGGGACAGCTGGAGGTAGAGACGCCCCAAGTCATTGGCATGGCTCCAAACGATAAACAGACACCAATGAATGATCAGTTGGCCGATCAGTTCGGCGAGCCCGTTCTTCATGGCTGCACAGTCCGATATTTCCTTCTTGCTGCCGGCATAATGCATTCGGCAATGGCCACTGTATTTGCCAAAATGTCTGAGGACAGTTTACGACTGGTCTTTTCAACAGCGTCTAAGCCGGTGGGGACGGAAGCAGAGGCGTGTGGAGAGACTACGAGGCCAGATGTACAGCCTGAAGCCGTCGACCTGAGTGTAAAGAGAAAACCCCAAGACCGCGACTGCATCGAACGGATACGACCAGCGGTCCCATCTCATGTTCTACCACCACCACCACCACCATGTCTTTCACCATCATCATCAGGGAGTTTTGCAGGCAGTACCACAACTATTAAAATCTCCGAAGAGTCTAACACCTATTGTGAAAAACTTGGCTTCAGCGTTCCCCAGATCCAGGGGCAACCGCAGTCCAAATTCTTCCCGATTGTGCCAGGCTATGGCCCTCGCCTCCATCCGCTTGCTGCAAGTAGGCCTCTTTTTATGCCGGCTAATGGCGGTGAAGAGTACGCCTGTAAAGTTCCAGGCTGCGAAAAGAAATTTCGCAGTCATAACTCCCTGGTCAACCATCACCGTACGCACACGGGTGAACGACCGTTTGTTTGCGACTTCCCCGGCTGCTGGCAGGCCTTTGCACGACAGTCGAACCTCATAACACACCGGTTGGTCCATCTGGATCGCGAAATGCGACGAAAATTTATCTGTCCTGTGGGTGGTTGTGGAAGAAACTTCCTGAAGAAGACAAACCTCGAGGACCATCTGAATCTGCACCTGGGTCAGCGGCCCTACAAGTGTGAACACCCAGGCTGTGGCAAGGCCTTCCGTTGCCGTAGCAACCTGAGCGGACATCGTCGAGTGCATATGCGGGCCAACGAGGCTGGTCAGTCCACTCAATCCAGCGCCCTGGAAAAACGGATAGAAATGATCCTAGCAAGGGCAGCCGATTGCCCAAACGCCCAACAATCTCCCTTCTAAGCCACAAAATCGCGTGCTGACGTGATTAGAAATCACCGACGGCAACTTAGTCATCTGACTGGCGTGAAACGATCAATCCCGATTATTTTCATTAGGACAGCCCAATTAATCCATTCTTCCGATGTAGCCGATCTCGGTGAACGTTAGCCGAGATCCCCGTCGCGCCAAGCTCGATTGTGATCAGAACGGTGCGAGGGGTTCACAGGTTACATGACCCATTCTGTGTCCATTTGATAGATTTGCCTCCAATCGTATTATAACAGTGAGCCTGTTTAAACAAAAAAAAATAAAATTAATATGGATGTAAACATGAGGTCTTCTGGCTGCATTTCCACTCCCCAAAGTTATCAGTGGTTACTAATTTGAGAGGCACTTCGACCAGCAGCAGTATCAGTTAAAGAAGAACTTATTTTCTTTCGAGAGCATCCGGCAACAGCCAGTAAACGATGCCAGTAAGTAGCGCAAATAAAGAAAGAAGGGAATGTAGTTTCAATTGTGTTAAGACAGGCGAGTAGAGAAGAAGTCTTGTGGCTAGAATTCAAAAACCCGCCCCCAACTCAAAGACGACTGAAAATGAGATCGGGGTCAGTGACCGAAGAGGAATTTTGTCCTCGCCGGCTGCCTCATCTACTCAGTCAAAACGCAGTCGTGGAACCTGTCCTATCAGCGTTTTTCCAGAGACCTGAATCCTAGTTTTACTAAGCATCTACCATGTCGATAGGCTAAATTCCAAGCCCCGCATAAGGGCTCGTAAAGCCTGGTTGGGTTACAGTGTGGTAGAATCGTGTCGACAATTCGGAGATGAGAATGAGTGGTTCCGGAGAACCGGAGACGAGCCTAGATGGCTGACAAGGCTCATTCGCCTGCCTGCGCGTGCCGCAGAGGACCTGGTTCCTGATTCCAGCGTGCCTGTCCTCACTGAGACGGCCACAGATTTCACGGACGTGCAATTGCCACGAAAAACACCTCAGAAAGAGCTCGTTGCAACCTACTACTTGATCTGAGGAGGACCGACTGAGGAGGGCACGCTGTTTGCAATGTTTATATTAACTAACATGCAATTAGCTGCGACAGCAGAAAAGCGGTTGTAGTTATGCCGTAATTTAACATACAGTAGGTGGGCTAACTCATGAGATGTCAACCGAAATTCCGAAATGTATTTTCGTATCGAAAAGACTAATTAAGTGGGATTGTAAAACTAGTCAGCCTGCAGCATAATGCTATAATAGTTCAGTAACCTCAGGATGCCGGCTTTCGAATGAACTTCCTTCCGACTGCATGCAAAAACTACACTCTGTAAAAAAATGACTACTTAATTAGCATGACTTTTTCTGATTGATTTTCTATGCTCCTAAAAGTCCAATTATATTTCATGGAAAACATGCATAAAATATTCAATCTTTTGCTCATTCGGTAGACAATTACGTCGTCTTCCAATTTTACACTCGAAGGAAGGGTATTATTTGCTTTTAAAAAAGTTTCTACTTGGGAAATTTTTTAATACCATGAAATAGCCATTCATAAAACGTCACGCCTCTGCATTCACCAATGTAGTTTGTAAGGTTAACAATATGTATCAAATCCAATGCTAAATGTTATGAACCCCATTTGATCTTCTCTAAATTCCGTAGAGAAATGTATGGTTTTCTGTACGCGGAAAATATACGGCTTGTAGTTTGGGAACCCTGATGCGGGTCGAGTTCAAAATTATTCTGTAATTGTAAATGTTTTGAAAACCGAATTATATCCTTCCTTCGAGTATACAGTTGGAAGAAGACGTAATTTTCTACCGAATGAGAAAAAGAATGAATATTTTTATAGATGTTTTCCATGAAATATAATTGAATTTTTAAGGACATCGAAAATCAAAAAAAATGCATGCTACTTAAGTAGTCATTTTTTAAGGAAAATGTTTTTTGGATGCAGCTGAAAAGAAGTTTGTTCAAAAGCCGGCGTCCTGGGGTAACTAAATTATAATAGAATCATGCTGCAAGATGATTAGTTTCAAAACCCTACTTGATTAATCGTTTCGAAACGAAAATGCATTTCGGAACTTCGGTTGACGTTTCATGAGTTATCCCACCTACTGTATGCCGCCTTCAGCCCGTCTCACGTCCCCTCTCAATCGATGGTCTGATCCGCGCGGGACTTGGCACCATCATGTAGAGGCTAGTGTTAACTTTACGATTACATGCAGGCCCTAACGTGTTCCTTGCTGGTACACATCGTATTATCAATTTAACAAGCGAAGGCATCATTCCGGTAGGCGTTCGGAGATGTTGTGGTTACGTATATCATTACATACATGCTTCAACGTGTACGCGGCCCGTAACATTGGCACTAACAAACATGTTGCTCATTGAGGCGGTTTAAAACGACAGCAGTGATGCCGTACTTTACGACAGACGTTAGTGTCTTTGAATACCGCATGATGCAATCATGCCGGTAGTCGTCTGCGTATGCTGCGGTTGCCCATATCGTTCACTGCATACTTCATCGTGTACGCGGTCCGTACTCGGCAATTCCTTGTACACGGTCACGACTTTACAGTTCTTGTATAAAGAAGCAGACGACAATACTATCGCTTTTTTACGGTCCCAAAGTCTTTGAAAACACAAGGCACTTGGGTTGAGATAGGTTTTTGCAACTAGATTTACTTACATCAGTGAAAATTCCGTCCGTTGAACCTCTCTCTTGTACGGGGTATGCATTCGCAACGTGAGGCAAGACGAGGTTCCCGGGCTTCTTTAAGTCCCATGCCACTGAGGTTGAACCAAAGACAATACTGCGCTTCGACAATATGAGCCCATATGGCTCGACCAAGGACATGGAGTTTCCTTTTCTGAATAACACATCAGAAAGGGCTCATTGTAGTCCGCTGCTCGGTCTGAAGAGAACCGACTTGTTCCTTCTGCTGGCAACCCTGTGGCGTGCATGCAATGAGATTGTACTCAGAACACCCTCACCACCAGATCAAATTCCGCGTAACGGCATTCGACAAAAGGTACCAGAATGAGGGATTTATTGTAAACGGGAACCCGGGTTGCCCTCTCAGGCGCCAGTGGTTGCTGGTGGGACCAGGGCACGTGGTGACAGCATTAGGTTGTGTTTGAGAGAGAGAGAGAGAGAGAGAGAGAGAGAGAGAAGTGGTGGCGGATGGTTTAGTAGGTTTACGAGGCAAGCTCAAGTGGCGTCCAACCGGTCTGTCTTAGATTGCACTTGCCAGGGTGTGTTGTGTTCAAGTGGCGCATGGACGGTCATGATTGTCTGGAGGCCCCAGTCTGAGCGGAATCCGGTCTTGTGGCTGCAGGCCGCGAGTCTGGAACCGTTTTTGCTGCGAAGGTGAATGACCTTGAGGTATCGAGGCCCTGTATAAGGACGCCAGACAGCCAAGTGCTAGGTGTCGGCAACAACCATCAGAGTCACAACAGCCATCTCGCCGTTACAGTTTCAAGTTTAAATGACTTATTATGTGGAGAGGTGCGCTGTATTGCCACAAGGACTTTCCGTTACACTAGGCCTATCTCATGTGTTAGGCAGCTAACTGTACA